AGAGAGAGAGAGAGAGAGAGAGAGAGAGAGAGAGAGAGAGAGCCGAGGGAGGAGGAAGTTGGGTACATACCTGAGGCTTGTTGGGGCGGTCCAAACCACTTATTCCCGAACCTATCCAATTGTATATTATTGTATTTTGAGCGGAGCTTCGAATTGGCACTGTTCATGGACATCGCTCAAGCATGTAGGTGCAACTACCATCTCATTGCTGTCACTTTGCATGTTGTGCGCTCAGTTGAATCTCGCGAGGTCCAATGCAGCAGCAGCAGCAGCCTTGCTGCGGCGCAGTGTAATTTAGTTAACTTGAGTATTTTAGTTAATTGAATTGGGGAAAGGATCTGAGTGTTTGATAACCGAGGCTGGGAGACAACCTGGACGAACCCTCGATGACGACTCGGATGCTGACTCGGGTGACGACCTGGATGATGATGTAGTTGCATTTTTTTTACGGCCCGACCTGGATGACCACCTGGATGCATCTGACCGCAATTACGGTCCGACCTGGATGCATCTGACTGCATTAACGGTCTGACCTGGATGCATCTGACCATGGTCCGACCTGGATGCATCTGACCATGGTCCGACCTGGATGCATCTGACCATGGTCCAACCTGGATGCATCTGACCATGGTCCGACCTGGATGCATCTGACCATGGTCCGACCTGGATGCATCTGACCGCATTTACGGTCAGACCTTGATGCATCTGACCGCATTTACGGTCCGACCTTGATGCATCTGACCGCATTTACTGTCCAACCTGGATGCATCTGACCGCATTTACGGTCCGACCTGGATGTATCTGACCCCATTGACGGTCCGACCTGGATGATGATCTGGATGATGACCTGGACGACTCAGAATTGTAGTTGTTTGGGAAAAAAGAAAAAAAAAAAAAGGAAGATGTTTGGCCAATATGGTATGGCGAGGAGCGATACCTTTCTGTCGGGGGATGATGTTTAAAAATGGGGCCTATATAAAAGAAGAAGAAAGTAGAAGCGGGATTCCAAAGAAAGTGGGGTAAAAAACGAAAAAAGGGGAATA